CAATTGACTCTGAGAACCCCCATATTTCTGCCCGCAATGCTTCGAAACGCCCGGCCTCTTCTCAGCTCGGCACCGAGACTGGGCCTCGCCAAACGCGCACCCCAGACACGCACAGCACAGCTCTGGACTGCATCTGCTTCCCGCCCGAGTCCGCTTCTGCAAAGCCATGCCCTTGCAGCTGCCAAAGCGACAAGCAAACCATTGCCCCTCGTCCTCTGGAAGGCCTACTCGACCAAGCCCCCCATTACCGAACGCGACAAGGAGTTTGAGAAAAAGGTGGCCGCCCAGAAACTCGAGGCCCGTCCCGACGAGGTCTCGGTCGACTCATCGGTCCGCCATGTTATTGAGGAGAGCCAAGCGCCCGCTCCAAACGCAGATGGCGACGTCTTGAAGGACCTCAAAGGCGATTTGGTATGGCCCCTCCTCGTCTTCCCGGCCACTTCACTGACCACCATTCCCATAGCACACCTTCAAGGAAGCCTTCGCCCTCGACACAGTCCCCCGGGATCCCTATATGCTAGGACTCGCCGGCACGCTGCCCTACCTCGGGACGTCGATCGCCACCGTCTTCCTCTCGTGGAACCTCAACACCCCGTGGCCCACGACCTCCAACACCCTCAACAGCATCCTCCTCTCGCACGACAAGGCCAGCGAACTGCTCAACATGCTCGAGCCCATCCAGATCGGCTACGGCGCGGTCCTCGTGTCCTTCCTTGGCGCCATCCACTGGGGCCTTGAGTTTGCCGAGAAGTCGCCGCTCAAGGAGCGCACAAAGTTCCGCTACGCCGTGGGCGTGGTCGCACCCATTGTCGCCTGGCCCACCATGTTCTTCCCCATCGAGTGGGCGCTGACGACGCAATTCCTGGCCTTTACCGGGCTGTACTTTGCCGACTCGCGCGCGACGACCAGGGGATGGGCGCCGGCATGGTACGGGTCGTATCGCTGGGTGCTGACGGCGGTGGTGGGCGTGGCCATCTTTATCAGTCTTGTTGGCCGCGCCAAGGTCGGCCAGGCGAGGTCGCGGTTGACGAGCCAGGAGCTGAGAGACTCGATTCTGCAGCGTTCGGAGTTGCCCAAGAAGAACTGGGCCAAGGAGGAAGAGAAGGAGAGGCAGCGGATTCAGGAGGAGAAGGAGGCTGCTGAGAAGAAGAAGAAGGAAGAGGAGAAGAAGCAGAAGGAAGAGGAGAAGAAGAAGGGAGGGAAGAAGGGAAGCAAGAAGGAGGAAAAGCAGGACGGCAAGAAGGACGCCGAGAAGACTGAGAAGGAGGACAGTGAGGAGGATGCCAAGAAGGACACCGAGGAAGATGCCGAGGATGAGAGTGGGGAGGACTCCGAGGAGGACAGTAAGAAGAAGGACGACAAGGATGGTGAGAAGGACGAGAAGAAGAGCGCCGGGAAGGAGACGGCGGAGAAGGCCAAGGAGAAGGCCGGCAAGGACACCAAGAAGGGCGAGGAAAAGAGCCGAGACGATGACGGCAAGGAGAGCAAGAAGGAGAAGACCAAGTGAGGTATTTGATCGGGATAGTTTCCTTTGTGGTCATGGCATTCCTTGGGAGTTGGGTTGGCGTAGCGGTCGGACCCGGTTCCGACATACACCTGGAAGTGTGATGGATCGGGTACTGTTATCGTAGCCGTATTGGTCCTTTGTGGTTTCGGGAATGGATATTGTATCTCTTGAAGAATTGAAGCAGTTTCCGTGTTCCCAACAGAGGTTGCCACTTGGTCGAGTGGTTCTACAGGTTTGAAGCTGTGCTGGGTTGTTTTTGCGAGGTCCTGCGGGGTTAAAGGGGGAAAGGGGGGACACCAAACAAAATGGAGTCGAATGTTTTGCGGGCCGACATTCGGCCCCATTCTTTCCAGCGGTTTGGCCTTGTGGGGAGTTCATCCAGGTCCCGGCGTCCCGGGAGGCAAGTGGCGGGAAACAATCTGCGTAGGTCGTGTTGTTCCTGCAGATGAAAACGAGTGGGGTCTGCGTGTGCTTTCTGACATTCTGTGAAAAATGCCATGGCCAGAAAAAAAAATGTACACATTTCTACTGGGCAGAAAATGTTGGAAAAGAAGGGATAGAAAAGGCATCTTTTCCCACGCCGTTGGGTGCATTGCAACTGTGGCTGAGGTCGTTGGTCAAATTTCAGTGACACGCTGGTGCCTGAAATGGAGCAATGCCCAGGTGGTGTGGGGGAGAGATTAGGTAATCCACCCCAGCATGTGGACTTGACAAGACCCTGACTTGGCATCAGCCCTGTCGCTGGCTGTCAGTTGAAATGCGGAGGGGATGCGACGAATCTTCAACTCTCCCCCTTTTCTTTGTCCCCCGTTGTACAGAGCCCCAAGTCAGGTCAGAGCAGCGCATTTATCAAAACGACCAACAGGTGTCCTCGAGTACTCGACGGGTGACTATGACCGGTCACCATCTCAACTCCCAACAAGTGGCCGCTGCTGACCATCGCCGGGTCGTTGGCCATTGAACTGACCGGGTGTCGGCACTGAACAATGGCGTGCAGTCGCCAAGCCTTCCAACGGGAAGCGTTGCAACTTGAAATCTCCTTGGTTCGCCAGAGATCCACCAGCCACAATCCTTCCAAACGGTCCAATTCCGCCTGGTCTGGCTGCGCCGCTTCGCGCCGGCACTCTTTCCCAGCGTGCTTCGTGTCTCTTCGTCTGTCCGACTCTCTTCCACTTCAAGACTGGCCATCTGGTATCAGCCAACAGCCAGCACCACGATCCCTCCCCTTCCGCCGCCGACTCCATTCGCGCCGAGTTCAATCGCGCCCATGGTGTCCCCTTCGCTTTCCTGATCCCCGGCTGAATTCCGCCTCGGCCTCCACCCCAGCCTCGACCCGACCGGGAACCCAAGACATTCATCGCAAGCCAAGGCGCCGCGGCCCGCGGGCTGCCGCGACTCCCAACCGGCGATGTTCCTCGCCATGGGCAGAGCCCAGCAGCGCCTCCTGATCAGCCTGGTCGCCTGTTTGGTTACCTTTCTGTTAATGACCATCTTCTTTCACCGCAGCGACCCGAACGGAACCTTTAGCTTCTTCCACCGCGAACCACGCCCGACCTACAAGAGCCCGCCGAAACACCTCCCACCGCCGATCAAGGACAACTTTCCGCTCCTGACCGAGACCCTGCGACCGCCGCCCATTCCAGCGTGGAATGTACCGAAGGAAGACCTCTGGACCGAGTACGACCTCCCCAATGCGCCGCCGCTGCTCATCGGCTTCTCGCGCAGCTGGCCGCTGCTGCTGCAGACGGTGGTCAGCTACATCACGGCAGGCTGGCCAGCAGACCAGATCTTCGTCGTCGAGAATACGGGCACCCAGCAAGCGAACGCGCGCGGCCAGCTGACTTTGCAAAACCCCTTCTACCTCAATCACACCGTCCTCAAGGCGCTCGGCGTCAACATCATCCAAACCCCGACCCTCCTTAGCTTCGCCCAGCTCCAAAACTTCTTCCTCTCGCTCACCTACACCCACGACTGGCCCTACTACTTCTGGTCACATATGGACGTCCTGGCGCTGTCCTACGAAGATGGCATGGGCGGCGTCACCCCCAACGCCAAGGACAAGGGCTACAAGTCCCTCTACACCCTCGCGCTCGAGACCCTCAAGAAGGCGCGCGACGACGACAAGCGCTGGGGGACGCGCTTCTTCGCCTACGACCACCTGACCCTGGTCAACCCCGTCGCGTACGAGGACGTCGGCGGCTGGGATACCCTCATCCCGTACTACATGACAGACTGCGATATGCATTCGCGCCTGACCATGGCCAAGTGGAGCCTTAACGACGCGCGCGCCGGCATCATTGTCGACGTCAGCACGACTCTAACCGACCTGGCCGCCCTCTACCGGCTCGACGGCATCGACGTCGGCTTCACGGACCCAAACCCGCCGAGCCCAAAGAGCAAGCACTTCTGGGACAAGGCCAAGCGCGACGACGGCAGCACGAACTCGACAGCCGCCGACGACGCGGCCACCGAGTCCCACCTCCGCCTCCGCGACGCCGACCTCGGCCGCCTCCCGCCCTCGGCCATGGTCGCCAAGAGCGAGCGCGCGCGCCTCTACCGGCCCGACCCGCGGCGCCGAGACGATAACGCCGACCTCGAGCGCTGGCGCACCATCCTGCGCACGTCGGACGCCATGTTCCACCACAAGAACGACGACAGGCAGCGGAACACGTGGCAGCTGGGCCAGCGCGGCGGGCAGGGGGAGCCGTTTTACTACGATGCGCTGGGGCTGGACGTGGGCATCAACCTGGCCACGGACATGGGGAGGGAGGTGTACAGGCTCAAGTGGGGGCACAAGGACTGTCGGTTGATTGACGGGGCGGGGTTGAAGGCGACGGACCAGTGGAAGGTCAAGTATGATGGATTTTTGGGGATATTTTGAGGCGTGGTTGATATGATACCAAGGGTTGAGACCGGGGTGGACAGCCTCGGTCTGCGCTGTTCTCGTGAGAGACGGAAGGGATAGCCCGATGGAGTTGGTTGTATACCTGCGACGAGCGAGCGAGCGAGCGAGCGAGCGATCTGGACATTTATATCCATGTAATTACACAAATGGGGCAGTCATCGAGTTGACGGGGTGGTTTCGCCGCTGCTTAGGTACGGCGTCTGGATGCAAAACCGGGACCGACAGGACCAGGACGCGGGTGGCGCAAAAGGATCATGTATATGCGATGAGGCGATGGATGATGAATGGGATGGACAGTGGCTGTCTGGGAATGGGCATGAGTGCGGCTCACGGTACTAGTAGATATTATCTGGCGCAAAGCAAAATCATGGATTATTACCTAGGTACATATGCAGGTGGAGTGACGTTGCCCATGTGTCGCCATGTCGTCCTTCGTGAGGTGTTGGGTATTCCCCGAGCCCCCGGACATGGATCCAGGTCAGTGGAAATAGACGCATGCGATTAGCCAGGCTGGCAGTAGAGGCACAACCTAGTCAACCTTCAAGTTCATCCGCTCCTCGGATGAGGGAGAGGAGAGGCAAAAAGGTGTGCGCGAACCGGGATTCGAACCCGGGTATCTTCCTCATCCACGATCCAGACGGTTTATGGGAAGGAAGGAGTCTAACCACTGACCTATTCACGCTTTTTTTGTTCTGCTGCATGCTGAATTGTTGAGAGGAGGGGCGGGTATACTGGTATATGTGCTTTCCTCAGGTGGTCTTGTTGTCATCTTGATCATGAGGGCAGGAGGGGCAGGGTGGGGGGAGGGGAAGGCACATGGCGGCATGCGTCGGAGGGGAAGAACGGTGGGGCGAGAGGGGGAAAAGGGGGGAGGAACGATGGAGAGAGGGGGAGGTGGAGGTTGTGGGGTCTTGAGGGAGGGGTTTGAACTGATGAATGGAGTTTATGGGGTGGGGAATGACTCAGGGGGCATGATAACGGAGGACAACAACGTGAGGGTATGAATGGTGCTTCTACTGTGTCGGGTCAGGCTGGGGGGATGGGAGGACGCCGTTGTTGGGTTGAGGGCGCAGGCTGAGTCTTGAGATACTGTGACAGGATTGGGGGAAAACTCCAAGACTGTCGAGTGATCTCAACAAAGGTATTCTATGCTATCTTTCATTTTGTTTACTTTGACCCCTGACCCCCATTCCGCCAAAACACACCCCCACGATGGGTTCAGGGATGTTCGAAAGCAGGCCAGCAACATCGATCAGCTAGGAGACAACCACGACAACCTGCATCCACATGGCCAAGATATCAAGATGCAAACGTCACCATTTCCACTTCGAGTATCCCGTCCTCAAAACAAGTCCAAACAAGATGGATCTCCAATGCGGCGGCGGTGACGAAAACTCGTTGACGAACTCTTCGGGATCGAGGGTTGCCGGTGACGTCATCAGTCGGTGGCTAATCCCCGATCACCGACCCCGAGCAGACGAGTAGCTGCAGATGCAAGATGCATGCGGTTACATAGTACGATTGGATAGGCTGCAAATAGATCTTTGATGTGCCTGTCATTGACGCCCAAGAGGATGATGGCTGGAATATATTCTCCGAAGGACTTGTCTTGTTGCGGCGAGCTGTGTTAATGTGTTGAAGTTGAGCAGCGGTTGTCTTGGTCCGAGGGATGCAGTGTGGAATTCTCTCTGCTCTAGAGCTTGGTGCTGGTACTTGGACATGCCTGAGACTGCTCAAGCGTGCGAAAATACCGCCATTCGAGTCATCCGTAGGTCTTTCACAAGCATTTCGAGATTCGGGCCCGGTCGATGCCGATATCCATCGTCGAAACGGTGCTCGGTAGGTTGATGTCGTTGAAAACGCAGCGTGTGATCCGATCATGGACCCAGCGTTATTTTTAGTGGGTGGGTGCGGGGTGATTCAGACTGGAAACCCCTCTGTCGTCTATGATGACCCCCGCACTCGCCAGAGACATCTTGACATGTGAGATCGGGAGACAAATCCCTCGCTGTTCTGGAGGTGATGGGTGGTGGGCTCACCATGGGCGCGTGAGAAGAAGAGCGCAGACCCCATCTTCGAGTGGATGAGGGCCTGATTCTTGACGGCGGGGTTTCTTCCGCCTCTCGCCATGATGGAAGCCATCTCAGGTCCAAGCCGCAAGACGGGGACCTTTCCGCCGCTCGACAAATGAACCAACAAACCCGGTCGCAATAACCACCAAGGCATAAATATCTCAGGGCCAACCGGCATGTCCTCTTTGGGAAGGACGCCGGAGGAGAAGAAGGCATTGGCATGGCACGGCTTCAATTCCGTCAGCTGGATTCGACGGCGCGGCCGGCGATTTGTTCGCTTCCTCCCGTCGTCGTCGTCGTCGTGATCCGTGGCGGGGAGGTCCTCACATGCCTGCTTGTTGCGGCATCGCAAGGGCGTCCTTCCATGGTTCCCTGCTTGCGGTTCCCGTTTCGCCATCGCCGTGACTTTGCGGGGTGCATGGGAGGAGACGGCGATGGGACCGTTGCCTCGATTGCCACGTTGGTGAGTGAGGCATCGCAAATGCTGACACTTCTTCACCGACACTTGATCTCAACACCGCCACCAGCGCAGATTGCACGACATGTCGCATCGCTGCGACAGCCTTCGCTGCGGTGCGAGTAAGCTGACAACGGATACCCGGCTCCCTTGGCCCTCTCGCAAATGGCAGCGGGATGTCCAGATGGCGGTGTCAGGTTGTTGGACAGATGCCCCGTCTCGAGACTTGATTTGCGTCCCGTGTAGTCTGGTGCCCCGCGTATATCGGGCAGCGGTAGTCTCAGAAGCTCAGACCCGTAGCGGTGTAGATGCCCGCCTACATTTTTAACCAATTAAAAACGCCGGGACATCTTACTACCGAAGGGTTTAAGGTTATACGGGGCATTTTGGCTTCGATTAACCTTTTTTTTTTTTATTATATCCTATAGCGTATAGCTAGATAGTTACAGCGCTATACCGCTTAAATTTTTTTTCTACGCCTTAACTATCTTAATCCTTAGCCCCGTATCTATATATAACCCTCGTAATTAATCTCTTATATAACTTATCGTTTATATATTTAACTAAGACTTCTCGTTATAACTTCTTTAGTTAAATAAGTTAGTTTAAAGCTATAAAATTATTATAGATAACCTTTATACCCCCTCCTATAATACTATTATATCCTTACTATTATTACCCTTTTATCGTCGACGATATAGTTACGATTAGATACCGATATAATATAACTTTAACTTAACTTCCGAGTTATTTATTATATTTACTTCCGATATTAAGTTTAATTCGTCCGGCTCCGATTATAAAGTTAAGACGGATACTAAGGAAGTAAACCCTACTATATAAGCTTACTTAACTAAGACGGCTTTATATCTAAAGGATATTTATAAATAGATATAGAATATATAGGAGTAGAACTATATTTAGGACCGCTTATATTTATATAACTTTAAAGGGGTAAAGTATAATCTTTACTACTTTCTTCGGATAGTATATAGTAATACTATCTCTTAATTAGGGGTTTAGTTCCTATAACGTATTAGTACTACCTTTAAGGCGAAAAAGCTCGTTCGTACTCTTAAGGACTTAGTTATTTAAAGTTATTTAAAAACTTAGGACGTCTTTATATAATTTAAAGAGTATATACTAATGTTTATAATTATACCTCCTCTTCGGGAAGAGTTAATAGCCTTATCTTAGAATATCCTACTTTTCGGTAGTTTCGAGTTTCTAGCTATCGATAAGATTAACCCCCTTACTACTATTAAAGAGATAATTCGTAGGGAATATATACGAGAGAAGCTTAAGGGAGTTTAAAGACTAATATTTAACGTTACTCCTACCTTATCTAGCGTATTACTTAGGTTAATCGAGTATTAACGATTATACGAGCCGTTTAATACTCGTATTAGTAGTTATATCGTTATAAACTAAGATCGAGCCGTTATAATCCTTATTATTATTATAAGTAGCTATATACCTAGGATAAGTAACTTTTTCCCTAAAGTTATAAGGATATATCTTAACTTATCTAGTATTCCCTGCCGTATATACGAGACTCTTTATTCCCTCGGTATCGCCTCTACGTATAAGCCGATATAAAGTACGAAGCGCGAGCTTATTAAAGATGTAAAGGTATATATTATTTATTATCTTATATTATATATTATTAATAATACTAGTAGGACTAACTTCTTTAGGTAGTTAAAGACCCTAGGCTTATTATCGCTTAGGATAACTTTAACTTCCTCGATAAAGTTTAGGTAGTTACTAAAGGTAAGAAAAATATTATAAAGAACTTAATAACTTATTTCCTTTTTTCTATACCCGATATACCCGGACTATTTCGTCGTAACTAGTACCGGCTAGGCGTTAAGTTTAAGTATAAGTAGATATTAAGCTACTTTATACCCCGCCTATCTTTCCTACTAGATATTATTAGTTCGGTAGTTACCTCTAGGTTTAAAGGCTTTTTCCTAGCCGCCGATAATTCTACCCCGTCTCCGTTTTACTTAGTTAAGTTCCCTATAGTAACGCGCTATATTACTAATAAGATATATATCTTATAAACGCCGTCGATATTAGAGAACGAAGGCGAGATTTCTAGCGTTTATCGACTTTATAACTCCCTATTCCGGATATACTTTAGTATAATAAACGATAAATTCGACCTAGATAGGTTATTCCTCGTATACGGCGTATCACAGCGCAAGGGTAGCGCACCATAGGGGTCAGGTTAGATAACTATTATTCGACGAGGGGTCGGAAGTCTAGGGCGCGAGGGCCGCGAGAGGTAAGCTCTCGAGGCGTAGGCTAACTCCCGACTACGTAACCTAGCGTTACCTAACCCAGGTTACATAACTATATAACTATAGACACTATAACTAAGGAGTAGGTAAAGCCTATAACACTTACCTCCCTTCCTCGGCAATTACGCCTTTACGCGGATACTTACAAGTAATAGCTAAAGGCGTAATCAAGCCCCGTCTTCCCTTCTTAGGCGTATAAAGCGCCGCGGTACGGGCGGGGGCGCGGGTAGGCGCGTAGAGGAACTCGTCTCCGGCGCGGAGATACTCGTACTCGGCTTCTTTTTCTTTAGCTACGCGGGAGGTTTTCCTTTTCCTAGGTTCGCTTCGTAGAACTCCTATAGGTCGTCGTCGTAGCCTTTTAAATCGTTAACTAGTTACTACGTTAGTTAATCGTAGCCGACCTATTTAACGAGGTAGTTTTATCGGCCGTTATCGGCTTAGCTGTAGTCGAGGATCCTTTCGAAGGTATATTACTATTCTTTATAGAATTCGTCGGTCCGTACTATTTAACGGCCTTAGTTTACGCGGACTTACTATTCTACCGCGTCTTAACTAGGGATTCTACCTAGTATTTATCGGCGGACGAGCTATACGTAGAAGGTATTATTAACCTTTATATTAACAGGGAGTTATAGCTAAACTACGTATAAGGAGGCCTTAGTAATCTTAAACGGGCCCTCCTACCTAAGGGCGAGTTTCTCTAAGGGGCGGCCGGTAGAGATATTCCTTATATCGAGTATTACTTATTCGCTAGCCTTATACTTTAAGGCGTCGGTTCGCTTAGTATTAGCGTTACGCTCGTATCGGTCTTAGGCTTAACGTAAAAGGGTACTAACTTAATCTAGTA